TGCCTTCAAGGTGCTTGTTGACTTTATGGCAACACCATGAATTTTGTTTGCCAGCTCCTTCCTCTGAAATGTACCTTACAGCACCTGGTGTTCATTGGTGGTCTCCTATCCAAGTACTAACCAGAACTGATCCTGCTTAACTTCCAAGATCTGGTGTCTTTAGAGTATTTAAGCCCCAGCCTGCATTTATTCATGTCAACAGTTTGTAGGTTTCCTATTACCAAAGTTCTCCTGATGTCTTACAGGAATTTTAAAGAATAATAGAGCACAGCTAGTACGCATTATCGCTATAAAAATGAGATCAATGGGAGAAACCAACAACAACTGACTCTAAATCACATGGAAATAGATCTTGTATCACCTTTGAGACTAAATGAAAGAAAGAAGTTTCAGTTAGTCTCAAAGGTGCTACAAGATCTCTTTAAGTACTGATTTTATAGACTAACACTAGCTATATTTTTAAATTCTAAATTGCATGCATGCCAGAACTTGGAAAAATGTCTTCTGTGGACAATTACTCACAGAATCCTGCAGGCCATGTCAGCTGGGGGATTATGAGAGCTGTAGTCCCCAAAAAGAACTTTTCCAGGCTCCAGTGCAGGGCATAGCCTGAAAAACATATGAGCGTGTTTCCAATTGCTGCATTTAGTTTTTTTTGGTTTACAAATAGAACTGCATTATCTACATTATCTGTACGTATTTGCATATTTTGGAAGCATCTCTCCTATGTCAAACAAGACAAGCTAGGTAATTCCTTCCCTGGTTTCTAAAAATGCTAGGCCAGGTGCCAGGGAATGGAGTGGTTTGGCAAGATATTTGCAGAGGTGCTGCGAGAGCCTTCCCAGCAAATAGGCAGTGCTAATTTCACATAGCATCAGCATCACCCTTCTTCCTAGGTCCAGCAAGGTATTTTACAAGATATTTATTATGGAGCAGCAAACAGGGCTTCTGGTGGTGGCTCATCTTTCCAGGCAGGGATTTGCTCCAAGTTTAAGCCTGATCTTTAAAGCAGCTGTCCATGGTTCTGAACCTATTTTGCAGGTGCAGCACATCAGAGATCTCTTTTAAATTATAGACTCAGTCCCAGAGCAGATTGCCTATCCCATTGGCATGGGAGCAAGCAGCTATAACTAATGTCCCCCATCTTCTGGAGATGACTACATAGTTATAGCACTATGATTCCACTTTATGTGCCATGGATGCATCCTATGGAATCGTGGGCTTTGTAGTTTGCTGAAGTACTAATGGTCATTAGCTGAGATTCTGAATATCTCTCATTAACTCCAAGTCGCAGAATTCCATTTGGTGGAACTATGGCAACTAAAGTAGAACTATATAGGTTGAGTCTCCCTTATCCAGAATTCCAAAATCTGAAATATTCCAAAATGCAAAATGGTCCACATGGGTAGCTGAGATAGTGACACTTTTGCTTGCTGATGGCACAGTGTGCACAAATTTTGTTTCATGCACAAAATTATTTTTAAAAGTATGTATAAAATGACCTTCAGGCTATCTGTATACAGTTATATGAAACATGAATTAATTTCATGTTTAGACTTAGGTCCCACCTCCAAGATATCTCATGATGTATATGCAAATTTTCCAAAATTAGAGAAAATCTGAAATCCAAAACACCTGGTCCTATGCATTTCAGAAAAAGCAGACCCAACCTGTAGTGCTATAATTATGTAGTGTGAATGGCCTCAATGAAAACAAGAGAATTGATGTGATGGGAGAAAGGGAAAGAAGATTCATACTGAACCAACCCTCTTTCAGTATTTCTTTCCTCCTCTTTAACTGCCATGGCTCAATGCTTTGGAATTCTGGAAATTGTGGTTTTGTGAGACATTTAGCTTTCTCTGTCAGAGAGCTCTGGTGCTACAGTAAGCTACAAATCCCAGAGCACTGAAATGTGGCAAGTAAAGTGGTGTCAAACTGAATTATTTCTGCAGTAAGGAAGCAGTCCTAGTCGAGGCAAAATGGCTGACCTTGGGCTGATCCTATATAATGTTACTTTCCTCTTATGATGGTGGAAATTCAGCAAAGGATGGCCTGAATGCTATAGCTAAGGGTGTATGGACACTATAGAAATAATGCAGTTTGACACCACTTTAAGTGCTGTATCTCCAACCTATGGAATCTTGGGTTTTGTCGTTTTAGAAGGGATTGATTGATTGATGGCATTTATATTCCCTCTTTCTCCCAAAATGCCCAAGAGTGCTAGTGCCTCACCAAACTACAAATCCCAGGATTCTGTAAGATAGAGCCATGGCAGTTAGTGGTGTCAAACTGCATTATTTCCACAGTGTAGATGTACCCTTAGTCTCTACTATGGTTTAACTAAATCAGTTATTGAATGTTGAGGCAACACACATACCCTCCAATCTCCCAGTTTGGTAAGGACAATCCCAATTAATCCTCTGTCATTCTTCTTTTTCAGTTGCTTTTAAAATGTCCCAGTTTCCTCTTTCCTCCTCCCACTTTCTCCCTTCAACCTCAGCTTCAATTGAAGCAACCTGAATTCAGAATTCAAGGGTTCAGTTCAGTTGACTCAGCAGGTAGAAAAAGGGGTTGAATTTTTGCACTTTCCAGTAGTCTCAGGCAAAAGCAAACTGCTGCAACCTTTCCTAGCTTGTGCTCTTCCTCATTAATGCCTTTTTGCCATCTTGACCTCATTCATAATATTTGCCATCTTGACTGCAGCCTGATGTTCCTGTGCCAATTTTTATCTGTGAAATGTTGGATGGTATGAACATATAGTGAGCCCTTGATATCTGCTGGGGTTTGGTTCCAGAACCGCCCCGGAGATAATAATATCTGTGGATGCTCAAGTTCCATTAAATACAGTGGCCTAGTAAAATGTATACTGGCAGTATACTGGTTGCGATGCCAGAGGTAGCCAGATCTGTGTTTATTGACCATTTATCCCTTAGATAAAATGGCAAAATCAAGGTTTGCTTTTGGGAATTGATATATTTTTTGAATATTTTCAAGCCATGGAAGGTTGAATCCATGGATGAAAAATCTGTGGATATGGAGGGCTGACTGTACAGGTGAATAATGTTGAATCAATGGGTCTATTATAGTAGAGACGAACAACAGGATTCAGACTAGATCTTTTCCAGCACTGACAATCCCATGTTGCATTATCTGCCTGTCTTGCTGCCTCTGTTTAGAGGTGCAAGAGGCTTACATAAGTAACGGAGCATCTCTTGTATTTAAGTGCACTGCTATTTTATGTATGGATCTACAGTATTTTAACGCCGCTTTTCAACCACGCTAGTAGGACAGGTTGGGTAGATAATAGCAGGAAATTCCTTCTTAATCAATGATCATAATAAATAGTTGTGCATATCTTGGTATCACTTACTGGCTGTCAAAACAAAGCTACCTCCTTTGTAACCTTAGTCACGCTCAGTTCTTCAAGGCTTCCTGGCTCCATGGTTTTCCGAGTATTGTTCCGCTGGGCTTGTAACACTTTCAGCTGATTGAATTATCATCCTGACTTTGCATCCATTTACATTTCCATAAACTGTCTGGGCTTGCTTATAACAGTATATCATATGAGAATTACAAGAGCCTGGCTCCAAAACTCTGTTGAACCCTGTATCCTGTTT